TCAATGTGTGACGTCCCTAATCATCACTTCATACGAGTGCACTTAGGCCCCACGACCACGGTGTGTCATGGTCTGCGAAGTATCACCGGATAGCGTGACGTCACTGGTATTCGAATAAATACTGGGTGCAACAGGCCGTGCTTTATTTTTACCTTTGTATCTGTCTACTGCAAGCATTGGCGTGCTGGATGAAAGCTGCCAAACCACCTGAGTGTGTGACGTCACTGGTCACGAGTTCCACCGGTGCTTTTCGGCCAACTGAAGACCACAAGGTGTCAGCTAACGCCGTCACTGCTATACGACTGATTGTAAGACGTCAATGGTCGTGGGTTTCCACGTGTTCTTTAGGACCGACGAAATGCCGTAAGGCATCAGCTGGCGACATGACGTCACTGGTATTTGGCTGAACATCAGCCAACAGGTCATGCTCCATTTATACCTTTCGTACATGTCTGCTGCAAGTATTGGCGGATTTTTTACGGCCAACTGAAGGCCATAAAGCATCAGCTAGCGATGTGACGTCACTGGCATTCGACTGTGCGTGTCGCTGGTCATGAGATTTTGCGGCCTCTTTTGGGCCGACGAAAGGTCATGCGGCACTGACTGACGATGTGACGTCACTGGTATTCGAATGAACTTCGGTCGCGACAGGCCATATTCCACCTTTATCTTTGGTACCTATCCATTGCAAGCATTGCTGTGGAAGGCTCTGCCAAATTACCTGAGTGTGTACGTCACTGACCATTAATTTGTATACTCTTCTGAACCTACTATAGGCCACAAGGCATCAGCTGACGATATGATGTCACTAGGTCTCGACTAGACATCATGCGCAACAGGCCATGCTCTATCTAAGCCATGTTTCGCCTGTACCTTTCGCACCTATACTGCAAGTATTCGCGCGACACATAGGGGCTCTGCCGAATTACCTGAGCGTGTGGTGTAACTAGTTATGAGTTTACGCGGGTTTACTCTGGCTGACCGAAGGACATCAAGCATCAGCTGACGATATGACGTCACTGGTATTCGACTAAACTCCAGGCGCGACAGGCCATGTTCCATCTTTACCTTTCGTACCTGTCTCTTGGAAGTATTGGCGTGCTGAATGAAGGCTCTGCCGAGTCTCCTGAGTAAGTAACGTCACTGGTCAAGAGCTTTTTACGGGACCTTTTGTACCCCCAAACGGTATAATGCATCAGATGACGATATGACGTCACTGGTGTCCGACTTAAAATCAGGCGCGACAGGCCATGTTCTATCTTTACCTTTCGTACCCGTCTATTACAAGTATTGACGTGCTGAATGAAGGCTCTGTCGAGTCCCCTGGGTGTGTAACGTTACTGGTCATGAGTTTTTCTGGCTCCTTGGAACCCTCTATAGGGAAAAATGCATAACAGTTGACGACGTGATGTCAATGGTGTTCGACTTAACATGAGGCGTAACAGGTCATGTTCCATCTTTGCCTTTCGTACCTGTAAAGTATTGGTGCGTTAAATGATGGCTCTGCCGAGTCACCTGAGTGTGCGATGTCACTGGTCATGAATTTTTACGACTATTTTTGGCTGAGCGAAAGCCATAAGACGTCAGCTAACGAAATGACGTCACTGGTAATCCACTGCGTGTGTGACGTCACTGGTCATGAGCTTTTACGGGCCTTTTTTGGCCGAGTCCAGGCCATTAGGCATCAGAAAACGTTATGGCGTCACTTGTATTCGAATTAACATCAGTTGCAATAAGCCATGTTTCATCTTTACCTTTCGCATCTGCCTACTGCAGGTATTCGTGCGCTACAAAAAGGCTCTGTCGATTCGCCTGAGCGTGTGGTGTAACTGGTCATGAGTTTGTGCAGGTTTACTCGGGCTGACTGAAGGACATCAAGCATCAGCTGACGATATGACGTCACTGGTAATCGACTAAACTCCAGACGAATCATCTGATTGGGTGACGTCGCTGGTCATGAGTTTATACGGATTCACTTGGGCCGCCCAAGGCCACAAAGGCCCGTGAAGCATCACAGGCCTTTGGCGTCGTCACTGTTATTCGACTTAACATCAGGTCCAACATGCCACGTACTTTCTTTGCCTTTCGTACCTGTCTATTAAAGGTATTGACGTGCTGAATGAAGGCTCCGTCGAATCTCCTGAGTGTGACGTCACTGGTCACGAGTTTTTATGGGCTCTTTTGAACCCATTATAGGTTATAATGCATCAGCTGACGACATGGCGTTACTGGTGCTCGACTCAACATCAGGCGCAACAGGTCACGTTCCATATTTGCCCTTCGTACCTGGCTGCTGCAAATATTCGCGTGCTATATGAAGGCTCCGCCGAATCACCTGAGTATGTGACGTCACTGATCATCAGTTGGTAGGAGGTCACTTGGCCACCTATGGCTACGAAATTCCGCAGCAGAGGTGGGAGATGCACCATAGTTAAGCACACTAATTTTATTGTGCGCACCATTAAGTAGCAACTTCAAACGCAACGGGCTGTTTCAACGACTAAAATTTTGAACAAACGTGAACACAAAACAAAGGTGATCCCAGCCCACAAACCGACGTATATGCAAAGCTATTCCGCCCGACAGCACAGGATGCGCCTCTGAGCAGCTACGGTCCGGAATACCCTAATGGCTAAATAATAATCAAGGGCGCCGCCTAGCGATCATAAGTCTGGGCCACAGCCCGAATATCAGTGACGTCATATGGTCAGGTGATGCTTGATGTCCTTTAGCCAGCCCGAGTAAGCCCGCGTAAACTCATGACCAGTTACACCACATGCTCAGGTGATTCGGCAGAGCCTTTATGTAGCGCGCGAATACTTGCAGTATAGAGGTGCGGAAGGCAAAGATGGAACATGGCCTGTTGCGCCTGAGATTAGGTCAAATACCAGTGACGTCATATCGTCAACTGATGTCTTGTACCCTATAGGTACAAAAAAGCAGCCCATAAAGAACTCATGACCAGTGACATTACACACTCAGGAGATTTCACAGAGCTTTCCTTAAGCATGTCAATGCTTACAATAGACAGGTACGAAAGGTAAAGACGAACATGGCCTGTCGCGCCTGGTGTTAAGTTGAATACCAGTGACTTCACATCGCCAGATGATGCTTGATGTCCTTCAGTCAGCCCGAGTAAACCCGCGTAAACTCATAACCAGTCACACCACACGCTCAGGTGATTGGGCAGAGCCTTTATGTGGCGCGCGAATACTTGCAGTAGATAGGTGCGGAAGGTAAAGATGAAACTTGACATATTGTATCTGATGCTTAATTGAATACCAGTGACGTCATATCGTTACCTGATGCCTAATGGCCTTAAGTCGGCCCAAAAAGGCCCGGGAAAACTCATGACCAATGGCGTCACACACTTAGTGGATTACCAGTGACGACATATCGTTAGATGATGCCTTATGGCTTTCACTCGGCCAACAATAGCCTGTAAAAACTCATGACGACGCACTCAGGTGATTCGACAGAGCCATCATTAGGCTCGCCAATACTTTAACAGGTGCGAAAGGCAAAGATGGAACATGACATGTTGTGCCTGATGTTAAGTCGAACACCAGTGACGTCATATCGTCAGCTGAAGCATTATACCATATAGGGGGTTGAAAAGAGCCCGTAAGAACTCTTAACCATCGACGTGATATAACACGCGAATGCTTGCAGTAGGCAGGTACGAAAGGTAAAGATGGAACATGGCCTGTTGCGCTTGATGTTGAGTCGAATACCAGTGACGTCATATCATCCCGCGATGCTTCACAGGATATGATGCTTTGTTGCATTGGGCTGCCCAAGTGAGCCTGTATAAACTCATGACCAGTGACGTCACGCACTCAGATGGTTCGGCATCACCTTGATATAGCACGCGAATGCTTGCAGTAAACAGGTGCGAAAGGCAAAGATAGAGCATGGCCTGTTGCGCATGACATCTAGACGAAAGCCGGTGACGTCATATGGTCAGCTGATGTGGTGTGGCTTACGGTGGGTTCAAAGCAGTCTATATAAATTAATGGTTAGTGACGTTACACACTCAGGTAATTCGGCAGAGCCTTCCTTCAGCATTCAAATGCTTGCAATGGACAGGTACCAAAGGTAAAGATGAAGCATGGCCTGTCCCGCCTGAATTTTATTCGTATACCAGTGACGTCACATCTTCAGTTAATGTCGTATGACCTTTCGTCGGCCCAAAAGAGGCCGTAAAATCTGATCACAAGTGACATCACACACAGTCGAATGCCAGTGACGTCACATCATAAGGTTATGCTTTACGGCCCTCAGTTGGCCCCCAAAGATCCATAAAAATGCATGACCAGTGACGTCACACACTCACGTGATTTGGTAGCTTTTATTCATCACGCCAGTGCTTGCAGTAGACAGGTACGAAGGTAAAAATGAAGCATGACCTGTTGCGACCAATATTTAGTCGAATATCAGTGACGTCACGACACCCGGTGATATTTCACGGAACATGATACACCGCGGCCGTGGGGCCTAAGTGCACTCGTATCAAGTGATGATTAGTGACGTCACACATTCAGGTGATTCGGTCAAGCTTTTATTCGGCACGCAAATGCTTGCAGCAGACAGGTACGAAAGGTAAAGATAGAATAAGGCCTGTTGCGCCTGATGTTTCATTGAATACCAGCGACGACATGTCGTCAGGTGATGCTTTACGGCATTCATTGCACCCAAAAGATCCCTAAAGCCTCACAACCAGTGACGTCACATATCCAGTCGAATACCAGTGACATCATATCGCTAGCAAATGCCTTGTAGCCTTCAGTCGGCCCAAAAGAACCCCGATCGATGCAAACCCATTTTCAGTGACGTCACTACGTCGGCTCATACCTAACAGCATTTCTCCATCACGGCAGTACAGGAACCCTGCAGCGAGCGTAGCTCTCTCCCCACCGTCGGCAATGCAGGTACCCAAGTAAAAAAAGCTGGAATGTTGTGACCGCGCGCAGTAACGGCGCCGGTGTCGCGGCTGTTGTGTGTGTGTGGCGCTAGGGAGCTCGCCGTCGTAATTATAAAAAATTCGAAGGCAAGAGCATGAATCTACCTGTTTTGTGATTATTTATGATATGTCCTGCCTTAAACACAACAAATGGTGTACAATGATTTTTTTAATGTTAGGTAGGAAAGTACACCCTGACCTCAGAGATGTGAATGCCTCAACATCTGTTTGCCTTGATTGCTGCCTGGCTTATTGAATGACGGAATGTGAATGATTGTATCATGTCATGAATGCCATGGTGACTTTGAAATACTCTCCAATTTACTTTTCTCCATTTTGGGTTGTGTGTGGCTCAGAAACTTGAGGGGCTTTGGTCTGAAGAAGGGCATGATTGTGAACAGCACTAAAAGGTCTTCGAGACTGCTATTTCCATTTTTTTTAAACTTTTAAATGCAAAACACTCCCTTTAACCATCAGCTCTTGAAAGTTGGTCAGTGTGGTACATTTTGATATCTAATTTTCCTGTTTTGTCCTTTGGACCCCCTTTGGTCCAGTCTTCCTTGTCTGTTCCCATCTGCCCTTTTCAAGCTTGTTCTAGTTCCATTCAGTCCATTTAGTCCATTGCAGCTCAGTGCAGGTTTTCCATGCCACCTCAGGTCCTTTGGAGCTTTTCTGTCCAGTTAGGTTTGATCTTGCCTGGTCTGGCCAAGGCAGTTAGTTCTGTGTGGCCCTGGTTCCCTAGGTGTGACACAGATCTGTCTGATCAGTTTAAAAGAATTTAATTGTGCAGCACCTGACTAGACAGAAATCCACTGCATCATACTTTGGTGCACTGGGCTGGAATGAACTTCATTTGACCAGATGAGATTTGGCTGTGCTGCACTTGACCAGATTCTGTTAATTGAGGCAATAAACTGTTGAATACCTCAAATGACTGAGATGGACTAGAAGAGACCAGGGTGGTGTGCAGATCACACAAAGAATTTTGGCTGGCCTGACACCAATGGTGATCAGATCCCGACCTTGCTCCGGACTTTGATCCACTGCACTGGGCTGCAAGGGCAGGGCTGGTCCAGACTGAACTGGACCAAAAAGCATTGGAAATATTGAAGAAACCGGAAATGTGTAGGGTGGGAACGAGTCCCTACCAGGCCATGCTTACCAGCCTTATCCAGGTCATTCCAGCTCAATCAGGTCACATTCCTTCTGGTTTAGACATCCCCCTGTCTTGCCCAGTGTGTCTGGTTGCAGAACCCCCAAAGATTACGACCGATGTAGGTCTAAGCATCAGTCTTTTTCAACTCAATAATCCTCAGATGTATACCTTTTCACGGATCATTGACAAATGTAGCTAGTTTATTAATGCTCACATAGCATTGTTTGAATGGCTTAGTGGGGTACCTTGCTTCCAATTGATGTTTGAATGTTTACATTTTAGGCTTCTTTCGACATCCATCCAGTCAAAATATGGACTATTTCCAAGGAAAGCCATGTCTGGTGGAGAATTTCGAAGAGGAGTTTGGAGCCCTGGCAGGTGAACAGTAATTTTCCTTCTTATTCTTTGTTGTGTTTTTCATGCTGCTGTGTGCTCTATAGCATGTTGCATTATGCAGGTTATCTGTGGCAAAGTGAATATATCCATAAAATAAAGAGTGAATAGTGCAAAAAATAGCTGAGCACCTGCCGGAAAGACTGCAGTAAAAGAGGTCCAGGTTTATATGTGTGTTAATGCTGCATGTTATATGCTTACCTGACTCTGATTTAGGTCATTGTGAAGCCATCCAATCAGCGCCGGGCGACCACACCGGTGTCTCTGTGTACGGTGTCGGGTCTCTCCGTGCCGCGCACACACGTTCCCCGGTGTTGTGGCGCATTCGAGTATCATGCCCATCATGCCTGTCCAACGCCAGGCATGCTGCTGCCACTCTGCTGTGGTGCGGCCGGTGTGCGGTGTGTGTACGCGAGCCCTCGCGCTTGGCAGGTCGGGCGTACCTGGACCACGCGGGCGCCACGCTGTACAGTCGCTCCCAGCTGGCGACGGTGCACGCCGCCCTGGGCCGACACCTATACGGCAACCCGCACACACGCAGCCTGGCCAGCCGCCACAGCACCGACGCCGTCGACCAGGCGCGCTTCAGGTGCGGTCGGGGCGCTCGGCCCGCTCGGGCAGCCCCGGTGCGGGGCGGAGGGCAGCTGCTGCCGGACGTCCGATTTGGGCAGAGGGTGGAACATGCCTGTACTGAGCGCTAGCCCCCCCCCCCTCTCTCTCTCACCCCATTTCCATTTGCTATTTTGAAGTTGAACCCTGAAGTGGAACGTGGTAATCTCGCGCCAATTACGTTAGGGCATCCTTGGCCGAGCTGGTACCAAGTTCCGAAGCCTAGCGGTTCGGAGTCCACCATTGTCGCAGCCCACCACGGCGATGTCAACGCCGACGTGATGGTGTTTGGTGCAGAATTTGAATGCTGTTGTGTTTATGGGATGTGGCGTGTGCGCGCATTGTCAGAGAACTCCCCGATATTGCCAGTTTGTCACGTCTTGTTGTTCCGCGCTCCCTCACCCTCCCTGGAGCGTCAGTCATCGGTGGCTTTTACTACAAACGTCATGATCTTGAGTCCTGAGTCTTGGCGCCGGCCAGCGCGCGGGATGCGCCAGCTGACGGGCTTCCTCCGACACTTGGCCAGGCTGCTGCAGCACTTCAACACCAGTGGCGATGACTATGCCGTGGTGTTCACCTCTGGCGCCACGGCGGCGCTGGCGCTGCTCGCCGACGCCTTCCAGTTCGGCGGCGACGCCGCTGCGCCTGGCTCGTTCGTCTACCTGCAGGAGAGCCACACGTCGGTGTTGGGCGTGCGCGGACGCCTGGCCGGCCGGCCGGTGACCGTCTCCGCGCTGGCGCCGGCCGCCGCCGCCGCCGCCTTCTCCGCCGCCGCCGCCGACCAGCAGAGCGACGACACGCGTCGCGGGCTGTTTGCCTTTCCGGCGCTGTGTAACTTCTCCGGCCGCAAGTACCCGCTGGAGTGGGTGACGCAGGCACGGCGCGGCGCGCTCGATGGCCTGACCGCTGGCCGCCGGCTGCGCGGACGCGGTCACGTGGCCGGCTGCCGCTGGTACTGCCTGCTGGACGCCGCCGGTCACGTGGGCACTAACGACCTTGACCTGAGCCGGGCGCAGCCTGACTTCGTGTGCCTGTCGTTCTACAAAATGTTCGGCTATCCGACCGGGCTGGGTGAGTGCGAGGCCGGGCTGGGGACGGTCCGTCAGTCACGGTGACGCGGCAGTCACGTGACGGTGGGGAGGCGACTCGGGCGCGGCGAGGCCGGGGCCGGTGTTGAGCTCGATGAATCATCACTTTGGGCGTGAGTCAACACATGACGCGGAAGGCGGCCGGCGGCCCTGGGGTGCCGCAGTACTTCTCCGCAAACTGCTGGCGGTTTGAATAGCTGCTCGACGACATTCTCTTTGTGTCTCCTCGGTTCCTGTTTTCATCGGTTCAATCTTTGCCCCCTTTTTCATCCTCGTTTCAGTGCATATTCTTTCATTTTGTCATCTTAATGGTATCCCACTTTTGCTCTTCTGGGCGGTTTTTTTCTTTCTGCTTATCGTTTTCGGCCATCCAGCCTCTTGCGCACATATGCTTCATTTGCTTTTTATTATATTTTTTCCTTTGAAATATTTCTCCGATTCCCTCTTCTTATTTCTTTGTTGCCGCTCAACTGTACACTTGTGTTCTGTTCTCTATGCGCTTGAACTCGTTACGGTCTTTCCACGCTCTGTTGCCGCCCGCACTGGTTTCAGACGTCCGGCGTGATGACAAAGTCGTCTCTGTTTTGTTCATTGAATCGCGCCCAGCCTGCATTCCTGATGTCCTCTCAAGCTGCTTTGTCAGCGATCTATCACGGACTGATGGTGAACGCGCCTGCTCTATCGACGGCCCCTCGTTGCTTTATGTGGGTCTGCCATCTGCCGCTGATTCGGCTTTGCTGCTGTCGATTCCGCTCTGATTTGCCGCTAGATAAACCACCATTTATCCCCGTATCGATCCACTATTGGTGCACCTTTGGGTTATAATTGACCTCATGTGTGTAGATCACTCACGAAGCGCCCTAAAGCCCCAATTTCTACCGCTACTGGATATCACTCAGCCGCTGCGGCTACATCCAGCCTTCCCGCTCATCCATCACTAGTCCGTTATTCCCTTTCCCATATATCACTGACCAGCCGCTTCTCCACCATCTCTTTGTCGCTGGTTCGTTGGCGCTACGCTGTTGATACCGCGCTGATCCGTCTGCTTCAGGTGAAGAGCTTGCGGATTGTTAGTTTAACGGCCGGTTTCGCTGGCTTGGTCCGTTGTCACGCCGTCACTGCGTCATTTCATGATATCACGCCGTCACACCGTCCGATCGCCTGTCACCGAGCATTCGCTGACCCGTCGTCAACCAACCACCGACCCGTCATCGACCGATCACCGACCCGTCACCGGCCGATCGCCGACCCGTCATCGGTCGATCACCGACCCGTCATCGACCGATCACCGACCCGGCAACGACCCGTCACCGACCAATCACCGACCGTCACCGACCGATCACCGACCCTTCATCGACCCGTCACCGACCCATCACCGACCCATCACGACCGATCACCGACCCTTCATCGACCCGTCACCGACCCATCATCGACCCGTCATCTGCCGATCGCTGACCCTTCACCGACTGGTTGCCGATAGGGGCGCTGTTGGTGCACCGGCGGGCGCAGCACACGCTGCAGAAGGCGTACTTTGGCGGCGGAACCGTCCAGGTCTCGCTGGCCGGCGAAGACTTCCACGTGGCGCGGTCCGAGCTTCACGAAAGGTGAAACAGCGGGCGCCTCTTAGAGTAGTGCTAGGATGCTCTGGTGTTCCTCGCTTCTAGCATGAATTGTTTCGCTGTCAAGTGCATGGCTTTGATGCTGGCGACAAATAGACGCTTTTTATGATCCTGAGTAGTATGTCTGGACGGGTAATGGCACGCACACAAGTGTGACCCGTATTATATACGTACTCACTGCGACACAGGTATAAGTTGTATTTAGAACGGAAACTTTCTGTTCTTCTGTGTATCTGTAGCACCCGTTGTGAAAGGCGTTCTTCCTTCCACTATTGCGTTCACCTGACTGTACATAGTCTCACACCGGCGCCGCACCGTTGTCGCGCGCGGAGTGAGTGTGTTGGTACTCTGCCTGGCGTGCCTCGGGGCGTGCCTCGCGCTTCTGACGGCTGTGTGTCCGCTGCGGCGGGCGGCCGGCAGGCTGGAGGACGGCACGCTGCCCTTTCTGGCGATCGCCGCCGTCACCCACGGCCTGGACACCGTCCGACGGCTGGCCGGTACCGCATCCCGTGCCCCACCTCGCCCGCGCACGGCCGGCGGTACCGGTCATCGGGCACACGCCCTCTGACACGGGGACCTCGGGCGCCCGCACGGGGACCTCGGGCGCCCGCATGGGGACCTCGGGCGTCCGCACGGGGACCTCGGGCGCCCGCACTGGGGCATCTCGGCGTCCCGCACAGGGGACCTCGGGCGTCCGGCACGGGGACCTCGGGCGTCCGCACGGGGACCTCGGGCGCCCGCATGGGGACCTCGGGCGTCCGCACGGGGACCTCGGGCGCCCGCACGGGGACCTCGGGCGCCCGCACGGGGACCTCGGGCGCCCGCACGGGGATCTCGGGCGTCCGCACGGGGACCTCGGGCGCCCGCACGGGGACCTCGGGCGCTCGCACAGGGGCCTCGGGCGTCCGCACGGGGACCTCTGGCGCCCGCACGGGGACCTCGGGGGCCCGCACGGGGACCTCGGGGGCCCGCACGGGGACCTCGGGGGCCCGCACGGGGACCTCGGGGGCCCGCACGGGGACCTCGGGCGTCCACATGGTGACCTCAGGCATCCGCGCAGAACGCGGGGACATCCTCCGACTGGAGAGGATGCGGGGAGACCAAGGACGGCATGCTGGGGATTGTGGAATACGAGAGCGGCACTACTTACCGGTCGCTGGTGTGCCGGACTCAGTCAGTGGGCACCGGTCACTGATACGCCGACACTCAGACACCGGCCGGGCAAACTACACTGGTGTGCGACCCCCAGCGCCGATTTGTGATGGAACGCCCAAACTAGGGCTCGGCGATCCGGTCACGGACGCCGGCGCGGCATGCTGAAGACTGTAGCAGAGCGTGGGCAGGGTGGGGCGGGATCAGATGCTAGTGTACGAATGGTGGCGTCTTGGACACCAGCCGCTTCGCATGGAATGCTCCTGGCCCTGCTTGGCACCCCGCTTGACGCGATGGAAAAGAAGAATTGGGGGGGAGGTGGGCGACTGTGGCAAAGTTTTGCTGCGGAGGCGAGCTGCACGTGTATTTGTGAGTAGAGCAGTATCCAAAGTACTTTATTCTTTGATTGTTCACAGTCTTGTCTGCCAGATCGTGAATCCCATCATGTTGTATGTTGGGACGGTAGCCCAGCAGCCAACGGTGCAGCGTCGCACGCGCAGTGCGCGCGTTAGACTTTCATCCGGCGCTGTGATACCTGGGCATTACTGCTGTCGCTGGTGCTCTTTAGAAAGATCCACCATGACGTGCGCTAAACGGTCTTCAAGAGAAACAAACTTTAACGGGAATGGTTTGAAGCGGCATGTGCTTGCTCTTTTTTCGCAATGAATATTATCAGAATAATCGTATTGGTGTCGTCAGCACCGAAGCTGCTTCACATGTTCAGGATTTGTCACTGCTGCCTTCCCTCTCGTAGGTCCCATGAAGGCTGTGAGTGCTCATGTGTTCGGACTGGCCCAGTACACCTACCGCCATCTCTCGGCACTGAGGCACAGCAACGGTTCTCCGGTCGTCCGCATTTACTCCGATACCGAGTACGATGACATTGAGACGCAGGGAGGGATCATCAGCTTTAACCTGCTCCGGCCAGACGGTGCTTTCTTCGGCTCCACGGAGGTTAGTCTGTTGTCGGTGTATCCGCGTTAATGTGGCGCTACCGATATATCCTGGAACTGAGTGTCACATACCAGCCTCGTCGGAGAACACGAGAGTGATGAGCAAGCTACCCCCGAAACAGTTGTCATTTTTGAGTGGTTGCCAGGTAAGGATTTTGTGTAACGGCAATTGCACGATTACACAGCAGCAGGGTTATGGAAACTCAGAAGTCAAATGCAGAGACCTTGTTGTTGCAGTGCAAATGTATTGGTTCGTCTCACTGCCGGCAGGTGGAGAAGTTTGCCGGCGTGTACGACATCGACCTGCGCACCGGCTGCTTCTGTAACCCCGGCGCCTGTCAGCGTTTTCTGGGCCTCAGCACGGAAACTGTCAAAGAGCACTTCCAGGTCTGTAGTCCGTTATAGACCAGGCCACGGTCAGAAGACGGACTCGGCGTGATCTATGTCGCATCAAAATCTGCCAGTCATGCTTAAGGCGCAAGCTCATTCAGTTAGCTGTTGACGTTGTACGTCCTTGTCAACCACCGCAGTCGTGGAATGACTGTTGTCTGATGCATGTGGATACCCAATGAATGTACTGTGTATTGGGTGCTATACTCGTATATTTCGACATTACTTGTAAAACTGTCGTGCCAATGCCAATACGTGCCGTGGCATGCCGTTCTGTACTATTCACGCCACCTTCCTCTTCTGCCGCTCTATCATGATTGACTCGAGCGGAGCTCACCTGTAAGTGTCCTGATTATCTGTCCTGCAGCATGACGCTTCCCGGCCTCGCCTCACGACCACCAGCTGACAGCATCAGTCTGGCTTGAACCAGTTATCTCCGTAACGCCTCCCAACCTGTCATACATGGTGCGGCTCCCGTAACGGCCTCACATAAACCTCACTCTGACCTCACCCTCCCTCGATTCTAGTCCCGCCCTGACCTTGCCCGACCTGACGGTGACCTCGGGCTGACCTGGCAGGCGGGCCACGTGTGCGGGGACGAGACGGACCTGATCGACGGCCGGCCGACGGGCGCCGTGCGCGCCAGCTTTGGCTACATGTCCCGCCGCGCCGACGCCGACCGGCTGCTGCTCATGGTGCGCGAGTGCTTCGTCTGCGCCGCCGCCGCCCCTGCTGCCGCCGCCGTCGCCACCGCCGCCGACCCCGACGACGTGTCCGGCCGGCTGCAGCGCGCGCGGCTCCGGCGGATGGTCGTGGAGAGTCCGGGTCAGCAGACGGAGGCGGGGCACGGGAGCCGAACCGGCTCGGGACGAGCGCACGCTGCCGGGGACGGGACGACGGCGCCGGACGACAGCCCCTCGCCCCTGAGAGAGGGCCGCTTCCTCGGCCGCCGGCGCCGCCGGTGGTGGTGGCGGTCAGCAAGTGGAGCCTTCGGGCGGCCGCCTGGTGGCGCCGGCCTCTGGCGTACGGGACCAGGGGGCGCCACTCGCCATGCAGAACGGCCCGTCGGCCCGACCAGCGGCGGCCGAGGTCGGCCCGCGGCTGACCGAGGTGGTCGTGTTCCCGGTCAAGTCGTGTGCGGGCTTCTCGGTGCCCTGGTGGCCGCTGGGGCCCCGCGGCCTGCTCTACGACCGCCACTGGATGGTGGTGGCCGCCGGTGGTTCGGCTCTGACGCAAAAGCGCCAGCCGAGCCTCTGCCGCGTGCGACCAGAGGTCAGCCTGCACACGGGCCGGCTGCTGCTGCATGCCGACGGTGAGTGGTGGGCGGCGGGCGGCGGTGCTGGCGGGTCCGACCCGGGAAGTCTGAGGGCGGTATTAAAGGGTACCCCAGCTCACGTGGGTCACCACGTGGAGGGGAGGGGACGATTTTGAGACGGCACGGGGTCAGGCCAGGGGTCGCTCAGCACGCAGAGCGGACCGGACGGTCATCAGACGTGTCTGCGGTCTGAGGCGGCCCTCTGCTGCGCGCAGACGGTGGGCGGCGGGCAGCGGCGCCGTTCTAACGGTTAGTTTGCATGCTCCGTTAGTGCTGATAATTGGGATTCAGCTGCACGCTGATATCTCCAAGAATAAGCGTGATGTCTATTGCGTTGCATGGAGGGGTTGGATCCAAAAGTTGCATTTGCATCTGTAGATGTTTAGAAAGATCTATCTCGTCGCTGTCTAAGCCATGTTGCCGTGCGCGTAGCAGCGGCTTGCATTAGTTTGTATGCATATCTACATATGTTGCAGGCATGCTATGAATACAGTATGTTCGTACTCATTCAGTCCGTTATTTTTGGGACCGGTAGCATTTGAACTCACTCGCCACAGTTATCGCAGTGTTTGTGCTGTTCGGTATGCAAGTGTAGCTATGGTGTATACTGAAGCACGGGAGGTGTGGCTAGGTCGATAATCCGTTACCGTTGACCCTAGGCTTCGGTAGCGTGGCCGTGCCTCTGGCGCCCGACCCCGCCCTCTCCGTGACGTCACTGACGCTCTGCGAATCACGCGTCTGCGGCGACCGCGTGGGCGGGCTCGACTGCGGCGACGCGGCCGCTGATTGGCTGAGCCAGGTGCTCGACCTGGAGGGTGTGCGGCTGGTCCGCCAGAACCCCGCCTCGGCGCGCAGCTCCAAGGTCAACGGTAGGTGACGCTGCGGGCTGTCTGGCGGCCGCGAGCCTGCACGGCCGGACGCGTGTGCCCACATGCCCGGCTCAGGTGTGCTCCTGTAAATCTGGCATGCCCTGTGTGACGCTCTCTGGAGCTCGCACGGCGGGTGGGAGGCCTGTTATTCATGTTCCAGATGCGGATTCCTTGAACGTGGTGGGGTTCTACGCCATGTCGTTGAACCTGGTATGCGAAATTGCATATGCGTGTGTGCCTGTGCGTCTCTTGATAAGCTGACGATGTCTCCTCCAATTGATACTCGTAGCGTGACAAATATTTATTGCCAAAGGAAGCCTGCAGTGGTACTATAAAGCGACGTTTTTCCGATAAATGGCACACGAAGTTAGTATTTCATTTCTTGCTGCGCCATAGGTCGGTGCACTGGCACAAAGCAACCGCTTAAGTGTTTGACGCCGCTGTTGCTGCTCGCGGTTGAAAGTAAGCAGCTTACACCGCCCGCCAAAGTCATGTCCCTGGTTTGACCTCAGACAGTTGGCAACGAATGGTGCCTGATTGCGTCAGAACTAAATATCTTGTGACATAGGCTCCAAACAGGAACCCGGGTCACGGATTGGTGGGTGTGAGGCCTCGTGAAGGTAAACACTGGCCGTGTTTGTCAATACGGGCCGGGCCGTAGGCTGCCGTTCCTGCTAACTCTGCTCGTTTCGTCGGAGCTCAACCCTGACGACTCGTGCAGCGCGTGCAGACATTCTCCGCCGTGGCGGTTCGCAGCCGTGTTGGTTTGGTATCTGCTGCTGGTGGAGCGGCTCAGGCCCCGCCCAGTTGGCCTTGCTCGCCGTGACCGCGCCGGCGGCCGTTGCTGGGGAGGGGTTCCCAGCGGAGCCGGCGCCCGGACGGTGCCGATAGCTTCCCTGGGTCCTCTGTAAACACGGCCACGCCGCGCTGCAAGCGTGGACGTCAGACGGAACAGCGCCAACCCGGTGCATATGGCCCACTGTGGGCTCGTTCACGACATGGAGCGCCGGTGGTGATGCGGAGCATTTCAGCTGTCAGCGGTAATGTCCAGTTACTCCACGTGGTGGCCGGTGTGAGTCAGGCCGACCCATGACACCCATGCTGTCGACAGGATCGTCCGGCCTCCTCTCGCTCTCGAACGAGTCGCCGTACGTGCTGGTCAGCCGGTCCAGCGTGGCGGCGCTGCGGTCCGCCATGCAGGAGCGCGGCGTCGACGACGGCGTCTCGGAGGTCAGTGGGTGACGGACGGGCGGGCGGCGGGCGGTCAGAGCTGGACACATGCTGGGCCCGTGCCGTGGACGTCAGGTCCGGGGAGATGGGCCTGCTGACGACTGCCGGGTGCTGTTAGCCGCGCAGCCCGCCGGCAGGCCAGGAGGCGTGGCCAGCGGCCGCCGTGCCCTTCGACGGGACCCAGCTCACAGTGTTCGAGCTGCGTGTTCTCTGGCGCGATGGCTCGCTGCAGTGGCTCCCGCGACGCGACCCTGCGCGGCCGGCTCTCGCTCGGCCCTCCCGCCCGGGCGACGCCCCGGGGTCGCTGACTGAGGCCCGTTCAGTTGGGCCGGAGTGGCGCCCAACTGGGTCGCCGTGAGGCCCCGCGGCGCCAGCGCCAACTGCGCGACCCTGGAGGCGCCGCGCCGCCGCCCTCGGATCATTGAGCGGCAGGGCGCCGCGGTGGCGTGTCCGGCACACGAGGCCCGGTGACTGTGGGTCGTAATGCTGCCAGGTGGCCTCGGGCGTCTCTCTGCTAACGAGGGTCGCGGCATCTTGGGCCCACGCCGTCGCTGTCACGTGACTTGGCGCGGTGGTGGTGACCCGCTAATATGGCGTACAGGTCCGGTCGGCGCGTGACGCGCGTCTTGTGGAGGCCCAGCGGTTAGGAATGACAGGGCTTGGGGAGAGACACGTGTCGATCGCGCCGCCATCAGGGACGCGCGCCTGCAGGACACACATCTCCATTTCTCTGACTTGGTTGCTTGAGCTTCACCGGAAAAAACTTGCGCTTGTGAACGTCACCTATTTGGCTGAAAACCGCCCGTCGGGTGCATAAACATCCTGTGAGGCCATGTCGAGCACACCGCAGGACGTTGCTGCCCCCAGTGCAGCTAGGGAGCCGCCATACTTGCCGACGTCTGGCTGCCTTTGGCGTTTGCTCCATGGACTTAATGAGTTAATGTGACGGAAATAACCGACCTTCGATTTGTGAAGGGTGTGGTGTAAACGACGCTATCAGGCAGGCATTGGTATTTGTTTAGAAAACTCGAAGCGCAGCGCTTAACATTGCACTGCGTATCGGGTGTTAGGATATGTGAGCTCATGTCATTTGTTATTTTGATATCTTTATATAGGTAGTTTGCACAGATTGGGGACATGTTCTGGCTCGCGTGCCTTAGGTGTTGTATTCTTAACATGTGCTTATCTATATGAACCGTGGCTTAACCACGTTCTCGCGTTTACCATGAATTCATTTACCATAAGCACCGCTTTGAAACGTCAATTTGTGGCAGACAGCTGTACTGCTCGCTCGTTAACGTTGTTTGACCCTTACCTCCCGGTTTATGCAGGATCGGTTATTTTCAACCTAACCGACTATGCGTAGGAAATCTCCGGCAAGGTTATGCGAGTTTAAAAAAAAACTCATTATGCCGGCCTTGTTCCGGTACGTGGCATCGCCTGCGGGATTTCGCCTGGCCGCGGCCGCCTGAGAGTTTGCCTCCAGCCTCTTCTCGTTATCTTAGATGTCATTGTCGAACCGGATAAATAAAAGGGTGAATGATGTCGTTGGTTGATTTTACCAAGTAAGCGTTAAGTCGACATTTGCATGTGGCTAACTACTGGTTATGCAGAACATCGCTAAAGGTAACAGAATTTGTAGAATGTCGGAGTCCTGTAGCACCCGTAATAGCATCGTATTCGTTGTTTGCTTCACCCAAAGAATGCTTTTTTTGCAAACCATTATCAAGCCACAGCGCCAACAAAGTTCAATGGACAAGGTAAGATCAATATCACATCAAGGTCATATCAGTCCGTCGTGTTCGCATTGGCGCGCTTCCAGTTCATGTGACGTGTAGATGTCAGCGATTTGGCAACTGGTTGGCTATACCGGCCTTTTTTGTCGCCAATGAGTGGCACAAGTCACAGCGGCTCTGATAAGATGACCTGAGCTGACCTCTGGGTGGTCTGGCGTCACCTCGTCTATTTGACCGATTCAGAATGACCATGCCGACTGGCGCTTAGTCAACTGGCAGCAGTCGATGCTTAAAATCGAGGGCATACGGGACAGGAAGGATGTCGTAAATTACTATCGGTGGAAATAAAAATGTTCTTGTAAGAATTTACCAAGGACGTCTTAACTCTGTGATGTGACCCGGCATCGTAGTTTGGTTTTTAAGATGCGTCAGGCTGATCGTTCGGGAGATCCTTGAAACTTGATGGACGTGCCTGGAGCGGGTCGGAAGTTATCCCAAAAGCTTGGGGCGTTGCTTTTTAGATAAGCCTGGAGATAATCCTGTGGCTAACCTTATCTTCAAGATAGGCGTAGCATTTCTTGAGCTTGAAGCCACAGGCTCATCTCTTCTGGGGTCGATCTTGGAATGTCATTATAGGCATGTGTAAAAGAACGACTTTACGTCACGAGTGCCATTGCTAGCAAGGTGGTACTTCGCCCTGGATTTGAAGGGCACTGCCAATAACAACATGTTTTTCATCTTAATCTTATTTTAGTATCAAAATAGCCGATGTACAAGTGTACTCGAATCGCTTTATAAAAACACATCTACGATCACCTGCTCAAAAGTCAAAGAAAAGCCAAAGCGATGTGTTTGCGAAGATATGCGTTTGAGGTGCTCTGTCCACTCCATCATCGAGCAGCGTCGAGAGTGACCAAAATAACTATGGATGTGACGTCACCGGACTCACTTGAGACGTCAAGCGCACCCATCGTAATAACCCACGACGTTACAAGAGCAACGTGTCGTGCTGTTGACGTCATATATTCCTGACTGCCTGGCAAAAAAGGATAATCTTGAAGTATTAGAACTATTTCACTGCGGTATGAACATCGCCAGTGCGCCGACGTGCTATGTAATCTGTTATGCTGCTGAGCTCCCCGTAAGATGGAGCATGCTCTAGTCTTTCCCAATAAGGCGAGATACGCTCAGTTATTCGGAATCCGGTTGTTTACAGAGTGAAGGCCAACGCACGCCTGTTGCACTGGCTTTTGGGGTCGGTGCTGCGGCCAAATAATACAAATTATCTACAGAGAAGGCATTGAAGCGCGGATCACCTCTGGAGTTTGTTCGCGTTGCTGGGCAGTCTTGGAGTTGTCTGATTTCCTGAGTAAAGAAGTGTTATCAGGTAAAGATAAAGCGCAAACAAAGAAGACTGCTTGCCGCCCTCTCAACTCTCAACTCAAAGGAGCCTCTGTTCTCTCTCTGTGAATCAGCGACGTTTGGCCACGAACTGACATTGCGCCCAAGCGCCTTCCATTTCGGCCCAATGAAGCAGCCGAATTGGCAGTGTGCTGTGCCTGAAGCAGCTCGCGCAGAACGTATCTGAGGATAAGGAGCTTTTCTCATTGGCTGCTCTCATGCGGCTCGCCTGAGCTGGGCTTTGGCGTCGGCACCAAACCTGGAAAAATCCTGTGAAATACTGGAATGAAATAACGAAATTCCTTCCACCGGGGTGATGAAATGCATGGGCGACCGGCGGGGGTTGGGGGAGAGGGGCGGGGGAGGGAGATCGGACTGACGATCAATGGTCGACATTCCAGGCGGAGCTGACTGACCGATTTCGGGCCAACCTGGTGGTGGCCGGCCTGCCGCCTTACGAGGAGGAGCGGATGGAGCTCGTCACCTTGGGCGACACCACACTCAGGGTGAGGGCGTCCAGGACGAGCCGCACGGCGGCGGCGCCCAAAACGGCGCCGTGTGTGTAGCTGTGAAGGTGGAAGCAATATGTGGAAGCTGATGAGGTTTGAACAGCGCTCTTGAAGTCTATCGATTAGCGTGCCGTATTTAATTGATAGCAGATGCCCGTGTTGACATGTGCCGCCATGCCGCTGCTGCTAGCCGGGGCCCGGTCATGCTGTTGCTGTTATCGAGGTGGTTTTTTCAGCGCTATTTTTATCACCACCGCTGTGTATGCATTCCTACGTTGTAACCAAAACTGCGCAGAATAAGTGAACTCCTCTTTTTTCATAGCCTTAACGAATGCTTTGAGGCTTCGTTACCTCTCTGGGCACGTCATTAGCCACGGTGGCGGGGGCGTTCAGCCGTAGGCCTGTCATGGCTGAGAGGTGGCTAGAGTTACACCGCCGCCACTCGGCACGGTGCCACCTGCGCCGTGTCTAGACGACACGGTCGCTGCTGCCGTGCAGGGACGACCCGGCGGCGCCCCAGGCTGGGCCCACGGCTGCACTTGACGTCGGGGCGGGCTCTGTCTCACCAGGGGATGCAGCTCGGTGCCACCTGCGCCGTGTCTAGATGACACGGTCGCTGCTGCCGTGCAGGGACGACCCGGCGGCGCCCCAGGCTGGGCCCGCGGCTGCACTTGACGTCGGGGCGGGCTCCGTCGCACCAGGGGACGCAGCTCGGTGGCGCCGTGCCTCGGCGACAGGGTGTCCAGCTGGCGGGGACGGCCGGCGGTGGCCGGCACAGGGCATGTGTCGGTCATCAGCGCAGCGTCTTCTGACTAATGACGCGTCGGGAACAGGTCACGTTCGGTTCACCAGAACGCCGTCTCCTGGCAGCGTTTCCTGACAGCTGGCAGTACCGGAACAGGTCACGTTCCGTCCCCTGACCCTGGCGGCGACGGTGCCTGACCGACCGCGTCCTGCCGAGAGGCGCTGAGTGATCCGCCACAGGGCTTCACCAATCCCACCTCATCCTCCTCCGCTCGGCCCTGCCCGTGCCCACGTCCCCTCCGCAGCCCAGCCAGCTGGAGCGGCGTGCGCTCAGGCCGGCAGCCGGCGTCGAGTCGGCCCGACTTTCCGCCGTCCCCGTCTGAGCGGCGCGTCCCTCTGACCGCGCCGCCGGCCTCCGGCAGATGCTGGGTGACTGCAGTCGCTGCCAGATGATCTGCGTCGACCAGGCGACCGGCGAGCGGTCGCGCGAGCCGCTGCTGACGCTGAGCGCGGCGCGCGGCCGCCGCATGCCGTTTGGCGTGCACCTCGGTCTGCCGGCCGGCCCGCCGCCGTCCAACGCCCTGCTCGCCGTCGGGCAGACAGTCAGCTGGACGGTCAGCGCGGCGGCCGATGGCGAACGGTGAAGGGCGCCGGCGGTGCGAGCGGAGGGGGAGGGACTGCGCGGCAGGGACTGCTACCCTCGGCAGCGGGAGACTGCTACCCTCGACAGCGGGAGACCTCAACCTCAGCCGCCGGTCGGCCCGCTCATGACTGTTCTTGTGTTGCTCCTTTGGTGGCCCCGATGGTCCCGTCTGTTTCTATGTTGTCCGCCCGTGGCTCCGTCGTCCGCCTTGTCCCGTGCGGCCGTCTGAGCCGTCCCCCTGCCGTCCAGTCCAGCCCGCGGCACCGCCGGCCGACCTCGCCGTCGCCCCCTTGACCGAGGCCATGCCGGCCGGTATTTCGAGAGAGGCGCCAGTCGACGCGCCGGGCGGCAGTGTGGCGGCGGCGGGCCAGGGCTGGCGGCAGCGGCGCGTGCCGTGCCGCCACCTCGTGCTCGTCACCCGTCTGCGGAGTGTACAGTGCGGGGTATTCCGGGCTCCGGAAGCGTCGCTTACCGGAATTATTGCGCAGCGGGCATGCCAGCGAGGCCGTCAGTCGCGTGCACGTGGCACGCGCCGAGCGAGCGTCACTCCAGCGCCGCGGCATTTTTGTCGCGATGCGATCGATGCTGGGCGTCGGCGGCGGGGCTGTGTTCCGACCCTCGGCGGGCCGGCGGCCGTGTCTCAGCCCTGCCTAAGCTGACCTGCCGCCCACCGCCGCCGCCGCCGCCGCCGCCGCCGCCGGTGCGGACGGAACAGGGGGAGAGGGCTCGACGGTAGCGCCGCCGGCGGCGCCAGGCGGCCGCGGACGTGGGGGTGCCGGGAGGTCGGCATGTCGCATGTTCCGGCATGTTCGGTGACTGCGCTCCGGCTCTGTCGGCAGGGCTGCATGCCTCAGCGCCGTGCAAACGTCTCGTGACTTTGCAGTGATCGGTTTCGAAATGGTGGACAGCTCCTAGTGCAAACGCAGGCTTTGTGTGTGTCGGTGTGGGTGTCGGTGTGTGTGTGTCGGTGTGGGTGTGGGTTTGGGTGCGTGTAGGTGTGCGTGTGCGTTTGCGTGCGCGCGCGCGCGCGTGTGGAAAATGGTTTCGTGGTTAAATGTCTTTGGTGTTTGTGCAGGCTGTCAATGGAAAGTTGTCCTTTTAGATGACAGTTCGTCTTGGCGAACATTAAGCAATGCCGTCTAGGCCGATATGGTGAAGCACACCACCCGTGGGCATTGCTGCCTGGTGTCTTCCCAGAAATGTGGCTCAATTTCTAGGTTATCATCGCCGCTTCTTTTGACCCACTCGTTTGTATGTCAGGGCCTCTGTATGCTCTCGGTCATCTGCGCGATAAGATAGCCGGACGGCCGAGTTCTCCTGACGCCGTCACAAAGGGCAGGCTTGACCTAAGCAGCGCTCATTTGGGATCATGTACCACTGGCGGCTTCTTTCTATCTCGGGGCTGACGAGTCATGAACGGGCCAGCGTGGTGAAGCATGGATGTGAAGGATGCGCTTTATCATCGATCAAACGTGTCGGCGCGGGTCTGAATCGTCTGTGGAAGGTTATCGTCAGATGTTGCCGACGGTGCCAGCCCAGCCAATCGGGCGGAACATCGGGGCTTCAGTAATGTTCTGCAGTGTGCTCCTCTGTCTGCGGTGTATCTGTACGCATGGAAACGGACAGGTCTGGAGCCTTTGATCCACGATAGCTGTGTCGGACGTCGATCGAATTGGAATGGTTGCGTTTCGCTGAAACCCAGACATTAATCGCCCCCTGGCATGCACGGATTTTGCATCATCCCGACGGCAGACGAGCGTACCCAAAGACCGGAGCCTTGCGAGCTGCCGGATGCGACGGGCGACGCTGACGACGGGCGGCGCACGGTGCGAGCGTCGGACGTCTGCGGCGGGTCACAGCGCAGCTGCGCGGGTGTTGTGCACAGCCTGGACGCCCCGTCTTCTGCCGAGCCCGCCGGTGCCGGCCGCGTCAGTTGACCTCATGCTCGCCGGCCTGGCCCCCGACCGATCACCGCCGCGTCACCAGGCGGGCGGCGCACCTCGCCGACTCGGCGCGAGCATGCGGTCCGGGCTGGCGCCGGCCGCCTCGCGCGCCGAGTCCGCCGCTGATCGATCCAGTCCGCCTCCGGCCGAGGCGCCGATGCGGCTCGGGCGCGGACGACCGGCGCCCCTTTCCTCCCGGAATGCCACCGGCCAGGCGGCGGCCTGGGCCGTGTGAAATTCCAGGGCCGCCCGGTCGAACTTCACGCCGGCGAGTAGGCCAGGAATCGGAGCCGTCGGAGAGCTCGTGCCGTACTTCCTCGTGCCGATGGCACTGATGGCTCCGGGGCGATATCCTCTCTTGTCGTACCATGTTACAGGACAGTGAACTGTCGCGCGCGGATGGCTGTGGATCGGATCCTTTGGCGTCACGCCATGTTCCGGCAATGAGAGATTCCTCGCGCCGATGCCCCAGGGGGCGAGACCCCGCAGTGTGTCGCCTTCTGTCACTGTAGGTATTTGGGTATGTTTTAGGGCATGTGTCCCTGGACGTCGGTCTGCTAGGCAGGGCCCGCTGATAGCGTTCCTCACATATATCCGCCTGAGAGGAATGTGACTGGCAGCGGCTGATAGCGCTCATCGGCACGTATGCGGTGAATCCCATGGTTTTGGGAGACGGGCGAGATTGCTAAACGTGTACATGATTGAGTTATTCCGCAATCATAATGTGTTAGCGAGCGACGCATATTTGCATATTTAAACCATATATAAGTGTGACATATTTAACCCGCAATTTCTGGCCATTTTGTACTCCTCCATTGCCTTTTGCTCTGGATAAGGAGTGTTATCTGGGGAACGTAACCCATTTGTGAGTGTACGAATAAAACGTGTTTGTCCAATGTTGTTCACAGGATTGAGATGTGTTCTCTCGAACGGTATGCGGGATGCGTTTGGTTCGGTTAATACGTGTCGCCATCCTTTACCCTCTCTTTGGTTATTTAAAGTCGATCGTTACATGTCGTGTATTTCTCTCGTACCAGCCGGCTAGACAGACTCCAATGCCACATTAACATGAAAGACGTATCATCCGCCAAAAAGCAGACACGCGATCTCTGGATTACCCGTCACACAAGACCTGCCAACGCCGGCATACCCGTCACAGGAGACTTGTAGTCCCTAGATGACCTGACATGCAAGACCCGTGATCTTTGGGTCAGCCGTCACATGGCCTGGGGTTCCTCTCGTGACGGCTCTCCGATCTCTGGACCGCACCACGGCAAACCCACGATCTCCAGACAGCGCGCGCCACACCCGCGGCCTGCGGTCCAACCGTCTGAGAACATTTGCAACGCGCGCGCGCTACCCTGACTCGCGCCGCCGCGCCGTTCCCGCGACATCACGCCGGCGCGGCGTCAGCACGCCGCACAGTGTCCAGCACGGCCGTCGCCGGCGGAGCGGGCCGGGCCGGGACGTCCGCTCGCGGCCGGTCCCGCCCGCTCCGGCCCGGCTCCTATCCGACTATTGTCAGCACGGCCCGGGCCGGGGCCGCCGGCCGCGCCGGCCACGCCCCGTCCGCAGTTGGCCTCACAGCATCACAGGCCTAGAACGGAGCATCACAGCGAGCAGCACGGTGCGGGGGAGGGGAGGGAGGGGCTCCTGCTCGGACGGCGACCAGCCTGGTCCGGCGGCGGCGCCGGCTGGGGCAGGGTCACCGCTGGCTGCCAGACCGACGCTTGGCCGCCCCGGTACGGTCGTCCGTGCCAGCTCGCCCGGCGTGCTGGCCACCGTCTCCCGATGCCGAGAAGCGGTGGGAGGGAACGCAGGAGGCCCCGAGGAGAGGCTGGGGGACATCGGGGCCTGCGGGAGGGCGGGTCCGCCGCCGCGTCCTCTAAAGCTTGCGGTCCCGGTTGGGCGCGCCGGCCGCTGGATCACGTGGTGTAGCACATCACCGCCCTCAGGGCGTAAAGCAGCTCCGACTGCAGGCGCGCCTCCAGACACAGGATTGCCACATGAACCTGCCGGACGGCCAGGCGGTCAGCTGCGGCAACTGGGGACAGCCCGAGCACGGGCGAGACTATCACTGATGAATGGCTGACGGTGACAAAGTACAATTTCGCTCAGTACTTGTCTGGATGCTAATTATGAGCGGATGCTGAATTTAATATCCGGCGACTATCGCCATATATCACGGGCGAGATTAGCATGGCGGTTAGATTACAGAAGCAATGGCTCCACCGTCGTTTCAACCCGGATATATCTGGACTGCATACGTTCCCAGCCCTCCATTAACGCCGCCAGCGAGCTTCCCCTTCCGCGCTCGTCCCATGGCCCGCGCCCGCGCGGCGCCGAACCATTTGTGCAGCCCGCCCTGAGAGTCAAACTCCCAGCCCGCCCTGGGAGAGGCCGGCCCAGACCCCAGCCCAGCCCGCCCTGAGAAGCCGGCCCAGACCCCAGCGTAACCCGCCCTGAAAGGCCGGCCCAGACCCTTAGCCCACCCTGTGAAGTTGGCTCAGACCACCAGCCCTCCCTGAGAGAGGCCGACCCAGACCCCCTGCCCGCCCTGAGGGACTCAGCCGCCCGCTCCGATTCGAGTTAGTACCTTCTCTGAGAGCTGGAAGCCGTCCATAACCCGCCGAAGCTTTGCCGGCTCGAGCCGCTCCGGACACACGCACACCGTCTTGATGAATGCCTTCAGGCTGCGGTCCAGCAGCTGGTTCACCACGGTGTAGTCGTAGTCGTCGTGCCTGCCGGCGGAAGGGTCACAGTCAAGGTCAGCGGTGTCAGCCCCGGCGCAGGTGCGGTGCCGCCCACCGGGCGCCCGCCCCCTCGCGTCAGGGCAGTTCGGTCAGGCGGCAGGCAATCGATCACACCCAGCCGGCATCAGGCAATCGATCCCAGCCAGCCAGCTGGCATCGCTTACACAAATGACCCGCCCGTTTGCGCGCTGCACCCATTAGGAGCGCCTGCAAGAGGCGAAGTGCGACACCCACGTCCCGTGTCCCTGAGACAGGCAGGGACGCAGCCAGGCCGGCCCGACACGCTGCCCACGCAACTCTTGTGAAGGCGTCCTTCGCATGAGGCACGGGAGAGACGCGGGCGACTTCGGTATTTGTAGTAGACGTTTGGTGAAAAACGAATGTTTGTCACACATTATACGCATAAAGAAACACATTAGATGGAGCGGGACCTTCTCAAAATAGTCCAAACATCTTTTCGGAGGTGTGTGGCGTTTGAGTTAACATCCATGGGATTTCCCACGGGAACGAAATGTAATTTACAGAATACCTGATCAACCGTATGCATCTTCACACGAAAGGCATCGTACCGCGACGGGGCACTCGTGCCACTGCCGTACCCTGCTGAATACGGAATGCTGCCGATGCTGAACTGGGTGCTGGACATGCACCGCACCGAGCAGCGTGCAGCACCCTCACCTGATGCCGAAGAGGCACTGAATGTGGCACCAGACAGCTCTTCTGAACAGGCTGGTGTCCACCGCGCGGAAGGAGCCCATCGTCTGATACGTCAGGTTGTAGGCCGTGCGGAACTTCTCGTCGAGCAGCTCGCCCACGTCCGAGTACAGTCGATTGACCAGCGAGAAGCCGTGGTCCTCCCAGTTGTAGTCCTGCGGCGGCCCAGCGGCGGCGTCATGCCACCGGAACCAGCCGCGTGCACCGATGGTGCATGGCATGTTGGTAGTCCCGTTGCAGAGATAGGTCAAAATAACATATGATGTGTCGGCACATGACCGCTGGGTAAACATCCCACTTTTGACATTCAATGCACGTGACATAACAGCGAACCGCCACCTTCCGATCCAAATCCTTCGGCCGCCACGTCGGAGGAGGAAGGCGGACGCACCTGCACCCTGAAGGTGGCGGCGGCGCTGGTCTCGCCACGCCGCGAGAAGTCCTCGCATACATTGTCGGCGTCGATGGCAAGGCGTGTGTCGTCGCCGCCGACGAGGCGCGGTTGCAGCATCGCCGTGTCCGCGTCCAGCCGGTCGTAGCTGACGCTGCGCTCGGCCGCCGTCAGCGCCGCCGCCGAGCTCTGCTGCTGGCTCAGCGTCTGCATCTTCTGCATCAGCTCGCCGACAGGCACGCCGCGCGGTGGCGAGCTCACGCACTTGGAGTGTGGCCTCACGCCGTTAGGCGTCCCCAACGCTGCGGACGAGGAAAAGTCACAGTCGTTGAGCTGAATGTCGATGGTATTGTAGTGCTAACGTGCGGTGATTAAATCTCAGAGTGCATGAGGCGCAAACGACAGAAGACTCACGAGCGCCGCTTTTAAAGGTTCCGTAGTGCCATTAATTGAGCATCGCTTTCAGGCAAACCTAAGCGATATGGTAAATGGGTACACATTTTCAACCAGGAGCGTCACCGGGCTCGTCACACGCAGGGTCAACCGGTGACCTGGCTGCTGCTAAGTGGTTCTCTGGGGAGGGTGAACCACTGATTTGAAGGGAGAGAGCCGGACGACTAAAACATACGACCATCGCTGTCGTTAGGAGGCATAATTTTACGTTCAAGTTAGAGCGATATTACACATTCACATTCGCGTGTCACATTCGACCTACTCACCAATTGCAATGAAACTTAGCTCACAGATGGAGCTAATTACACCATTCACGATTATATAAGTCGCTAAGTGTGACATCGAAAAATGACGGAGTTATTTAAAATCGATGTTCAAGGTCATTCGAGGTCATTCCTTAGTGAGCATTCCTGGACTTAACAGATTTCGAACCAATTTAGCTTGTTGATATAACAATGCATCCAAACATAACAAAATCGCACTCTCTAAATGTGACATTCAAAACCACATCCTAAACAACCATGAAAAATCAAGGCCACTCAAAATCGGACATTTGTTGCTTTGAGATTTCACAAAAACATCCACATCACATGGCTCCACCTAACCTCCAAATATCAGATCGTGACATTAAAACGCCAGCTAAAAGACCAAGGGACTCCCGCGATCACCTTGAAATTTAGTACAAACGTATCATATACGTGTGCAGTTTTTCACCAGGTGTCAAGTTGTGACATTTAAATTTGCGCATTCTAGAGGCTCTCAAACAATGAGAGATGTGATATATCTCTAAAAAGACATGTGGTATCTCTAAGACATATGCAATTGGGTGTTGTCTCTCACATAATGTGTGAGGCAACGCCTAATTACATTCTTGAAGATCTGTTGTTAAGCATGTCTTGGTATTGGTGGCATGCTACGACGCTGTTTGTGTCGTTTTAGAGATATTTCATATATCCCATAGTTTGAAAGCCTTTGGAATGCGTGAATTCAAATGTCAGAACTTGCCACTTGGTGAAAAACTGTACGCGTACATGGTGCATATTCGTGCCAAATTTTAAGGTAATCGAAGGAGTTTCTCTGCTATTTAGCTGACATGCAACGTATATATGTTAACACGTGCGAGGCTGTAGTTTCCCAGATTTGAAAGCGTTTGGAAGCCGAACGTTTGAATGCCACACTAATACTTGGAAGCTAGTTGGAGCCATACGATATGAATGCTTGTGTGAAATTTCAAAGTCATCAAAATTGTCCGATTTTGAGCGACCTTGAACTTCTACGGTTCTTCACGGACGTGGTTTCGATTGCCACATTTGGGAGGTGTGATTTTATTATTTTGATGCTTTGTCCTATCAACAAGCCAAATTGTGTTGAAATCTGTGAAGTCCAAGAATGTTCAGTGAGTAATCGCCTTGAACGACCTTGAACCTTGACCTTTAATAACACCGTTGTGTTTGGATCTCACACTTAGTGACTCATATATTCATCAACGGTGTAATCAGCTCCATCTGTGATCTAAATTTCATTGTAACTGGTGAGTACATCCAATGTAACACGCGAATCTGAATGTGTACTATCGATCTACCTTGACGAGCGCACGCAAGCCTCCAGCCGGGCATTCCCCATCCTTTCTCACTCGGCGAAGCCCTGACTGCGACGCCTGTAGCCCGACATAGCCTGAGCAGTCGGGGCACCATTGTCCCGGGACACAAGCCAGCCAAGGTTGGGAATGACATTAATGATATTGGTTAGAGGGCATGCTTCACATTTCAAGGTGCTGAAACAAGTATCAGATGTGATGGAACAAGCTCACTTATGACCATTGGAATGATTTTTAGTGCAAAAACTGCTCTTAACAGCAGAATTCTCTGTTTAGTACATGCTCAGTCGATACATCATTATGTGGCTACGTCATTATACCTTGCACACCATTGACTGAGAGCCAGTTGATGGCCGCTATGTGTGGAAATCCCGCTCACAAACACCAGATATGAGCGCCTCGACAATTATGCTGTTCTTGACCTTGAGCGCCGTATGGTTTATGGAATGGCATGATTTGAATGACGTCATCATGACGTCATGAATGTCAAGGTGACTGAAATACCCTTACCCCCCCCCCCTCCCTCCTGTATACCTATCCCCATTTTCGCGGGCGTTTAGCTAAAAAACTAGAGGGGATTAGGTCTAAAGAAGCATAGGATGATGAACAGCACCGAAAGGTCTTCAAGATGGCAATTCCAGTTCAGAGCCCATCCCTTCCTATTGCATATTTAACGCGATAACGCTTCGGTAGAATCGAGAACAAGGCGCTAAGCTGAGCGATCACGCCCAGTGGTTGGCCGGGAACCGGCACACTTGCGTGCGAGGCTGGCCTGGTAACCAGCCGGCCGGCCTTAACGATGCGCAATGAAGCGGGAAGCCCCTCATATTGCACAGTGCGCATAAGCTGCGCAGTTGAATCAGGCATAGACTTAAGCCCTGTACATGAGCCCGATTAGCTGCCAAGGTTTTTGGCGGTGCAGCCGTCACAGTGTGATCATGCTGATTGGACCACAAACAATCGCAGCTGAAAGCTTCCGTCCTGTTTGAAATGCGGGAGCGTGTCAGGACGAGGACGATCAGTCACTGCGGTTAGGACGCATACGCTATGGGCTTGTTTTTCAGCAATGTTTCCATCTAGATCGTGTCTGTCATATCGTAAAACATGGCTGACGGGTAAGTCATCTCAGACTTCCACATGCTCCATCAGCGGGCCATGAACCACGTAAACATAACACAGCGGTTCTTGAAACAGACAGAGGAGAGCTCGGACCTGACGCAGCCAGGACATGAATTAACGATATTACGGCGGCTTCGAGCCCACACATTTGATAACCCATTTACACGACGCAGGCCCGCTGTACGGATTTGCGGTCTCGTGACCCTAGCGAGGACAGACCCGTGCGGTACTGCCTCCACGTCCGTACAGTCGGCGAGGGCAAATACGGAAATCCGCCCGTGGGGACAAAGGGTGTGGCTTACGGACAAGCCCCGGCGCCCCCAGCGGATAAGCAACCAAGAATAGGCAGAAGCACCCACAGCCCCCGTATGCGCGTGGTCAAGGATGCCCTTCATGAGGCCACCTTCCCCGCCAGGAACCTACGTAGTGCATAAACCCTTGTCTCCGTAAAACGTAAGCAAGCGGCAGCATCACGAGAACCAATCCACCAGAACTTCCAGTCTCAATTTACCCGAAGAAACATCAACCAAAGCAAGATTTTCCGAAAAGCACGACGAACGTCGACGCCCTCCCCCAGACCGCGGGTGCACACCCCCATCTTGCATATGTCTAGCGTACACGTCATGGCCGAAATATTCCGACCGAGATATTCCGAGCAGGCCATGCCGGTGGCGCCGACCCAAGTCGCGTCGTGTCCTGCGGAGCCCGCCCCTTCCCCCTCCCCCTCCCCTTCCCCTTCCCGGCAGCCCGGCGGGGCCAGTCTAATTACCGCGCGGCGGAACAAACAAACACGCCTCGACAAAAAACGGCCGCCGGCGGGGCGGCGCCAGACGCGGGCCGCGCGCGAAAAATGACCGCCCGTGCCCAGCCGCCGGCGGCAGATGGTGCCACAAGTTGGCGGGCGACGGAACTGCGCCGCGACGCACCGGAGGGGGTGCCCCCCCTCCCCTCTCCAGGGCTCCGCAGGGTTGAGGCACAGGGGCCTCGCACAGCGACAGGTCGGGAGCCGCGGAACTCTGCCGCCGGATGGTGACAGTTGATAGATATGCTTGAGGCTTCTGCTCGTTACTGCCATGACGGAAAACATGGAGAGAAAGTCGAAGCGAAAGCCGCGTCCGACGGATCCTGTGCGAATCACGAGAGCCGAGGATCGACAGCGGCGCCCTTCGCACCAGCATGCGGCTTACATCCTAGCACGTTGTCAGCATGGGCCGCCATGAAAAGCCCGGGTGGATACAGAGTGACTAACCGCGAGGGAGGGGGTCCATCGCTGCACAGACGTGCTGCAGAGCGCCACCACAGAGGTGACGCCTGATTCGCCTTGCTGATGCCCGGCCGCGGCTCCCAACGCCAGGGGCGAGTGCAGCGACGCCCGGTTTGAGGGTGACCCGGGCCGTCGCATTCTGACGGGAATCCGCCGCTCCTGTCCCCTGCTCGGACCGTCGAACCGGGGCGGAAAGCCCGCCGTTTCTGTCCTTTGCCCGGGCCGTCAGACCAGGACGGAAAGCCCGCCGTTTCTGTCCCCTGCCCGGGCCGTCGGACCGGGACGGAAAGCCCGCCGCTCGTGTCCCCTGTCCGGGCCGTCGGACTCGGACGGGGGAGTCCGCCGCTCTGGGCTCAAAGCGCCCTGGCGTGAGCCGCGCTCGTGACGGCGAAGCAAGGGCTGGTCGTGGGGTGTTCTGCGCAACGGCGAAGGAATACGCGAGTGCCGAGGCAAGGCCACCCTAACTTTGAGAAAAGACCAGCACTAGCCGCGTGGCGTCGCGTGGAGAGACGGCTTCCAATGCTGCCTTGTTTTGCCCTCGCGCCCAGCCGGGTTCAGCAGCCACCGGTTTCGTGCGGCCCTGGCGCCACCCTGCGCGCTGCTAACACCGGGAATCCACGCCGTGTTACCAGGAGCCGATCCAGCGGCTTTTGCTGACTGGCACGAACGAATGGCAAGCGCAATCGGACCGAACTGAAGGTCGATGCGGCACTGAAGCTATCAATAGTAACGGCATGGCTGCAGCGGCGTACCGCCGAGGCGGCATTGCTAATGGTGATCAGGGCGGCGATACGAGCTAAAGTGCGCCGCGGCGGCCGGTCATTTGGTACATCGGGCGGTGCAAATGCTGCGGCCTCCGCTGATTCACAGCCTTTCTAGTCAGCACATGTCTGTCGCCTTCTGGTTCTGCCGCCTAGTGTAGTCCAATAAATAATATAAAATAACTTGACAATGGGAACAGAGAGGCACGCGTTCTTTTCAGAAACGTGACTCGAATTCCGGCGTCCCCGTACGTGCAGGCGTTGCACCCGGACGGCCGAGCCCGGCAGCCGTGGCAGGCGGCCGTCACCGGGGGGGGGGGGGGGGGGGCTCAGCGGGTCGCGTGCGGCCGCAGCGGCCCGAGCCGACGCTCGCCGCTGACTCCTGCGTCCGACTCCTGCGTCCGCGGAGCCCCCCGGCACTGACCTCAGCCCGCTGACTTACGAGCCGCCGGCGTAGCCGGCCAAACACAGGGCCTTGTCGACCAATCAGCGCGCCGCCCCGAGCACTGGCCGTGGCGGGCAGGGCGGAGCGGGGCGCGGAGCCGGCCCGTGCCCGACCTCGTGTCAGCGGCGGCTGCGGCAGGGCGCGGCGCGGCCGGCTGGCGGCCAGGCCGGACCGAGGTCCGCCCGCTCGTGTCGGCTGGGCTAACCACTGCACCAGTGCTGTCGCACTCACCGGGTGATGTCGACGCCTCCGGGGCGTCGCTGAACACGCGGCAGCCGTGGACGAACGAGCAGACGGCGTGATAGTGGGCCAGGATGGTGAGCGCCTGCAGCAGCTCGCCCAGACTCCAGTTGTCGCGCCCTCTGACCAGGCGCTGCGACACACGCGGCGAGCGGTGTTACGGTCTCGGCACGACGCCACCCGGGCTCAGCTGGAGCCGCTCACAGGGAACATGTTGCATGACTTGCAGAGTTCAGTGATTCATTCTGATCAGAGTTCACGGAGATGCCTAATCTATGGGCGCAAATGATCATTGTAGGCGACGCGCCGTACAACACAGATAAACAACAAAGAAGATACCCAGCCTGCCAGGTTTTGCCCTACCGGCTTCAGACGCACCTTCACAGGAAGGCCGCGAGCCACGATGCTGGCATAAATAACCGGCCCGGCATCTATGGCGCTTGACGCCAGACACTAGGGTTTCCAAGTGTCCTTTCTTGCACATTTGCGGCGCGTCAGCGGACACCTGGCCGGCCACAACAGGACAGTGTGACTCCTCACCTCGATGTGCGCCTTGTTCAGCAGCCACGGCCGGTGGGCCAGGATCTTGTTGACCTCGTTGAGGTCGCGCAGTTTCTTCGGTGCCAGGTGGATGCCGTCCAGCCACTGAGCCTGGCCGCCGTTCGTCAGGAACTCGTCCTTGAGCTGGTCCACGACGACGGAGCTCTGGTGCCGGCCGGCCGCCTGTCGGGGCACACGGGGACCTAAGCTCAGCGGTCCGCAAGCTCGGGAACTGGACCGACCCCGCCCCCCACGGGGTGACGGCGGGGCGTCCGCTTCCTCCGCTGGACGTCAGCGGCACGGGGGGGGGGAGGTGGTCAGACCACCGCCGGACCCTGCGCCCGGGGCACGCGAGGGGCGCTCCAAATGTTAGCGGTGCTCTTCCTGTCATGTTTCTCGTTAACAGATAAACTTTCACGACCATCGTTTCTTTTTCCTTTTGATGCCTTTAAGCCTTGCGCTGCGGTAGCCTCGGCACGTTATGCCATTGTTTACCATTTCGCTGCCCTTTAAAAGCGGCTTCTTTTCCCACTGCACGAAAGCAATGAGTTTTACTGGTGATGAGCCAGGGCTCGTCATCCAATGTATTTTGCAAAGGGCGGAAACGCTCACCCACCAGTAATGCGGCGGGATTTTCGATCCTTGGAAGCTACTGCGAGGGAACCGGTACAGGAGTTAAGTGAGGCAAGACAACCACTGAAATCTTCCGTGTCTGGGACGGCGATCGATATCGATCACGAAGAATGGGACATTGGGAATCGGATCAAACTGGATGGACGTTTCGGCGACCGGTGGAAATAAACACCCTGGGCGGACAAACGGTTGCTAACGGGGGATGCAGTCACACCCCCGACAACGCGGCGAAACAAATTACATATTATGCGCTATGTTTCCCTTGTGTCAAATACATGTGTGCAGGTAACGGAACACATTGTCGGTTCATGGTCAGCGGAAGCGGGGGGGGGGGGGGGGGCAGAGGGGCCGCCGTCCGCACCCCCATCCCCTGGAAAACAAGCATTCACCCTATTGACGTTGCATAGAAATATGACGTTGCGTAGAAACAAAAGGAGTAAACCCATATCACGTGACATCAATATCATGTGGCGTCTTAATGCATCGTCAGAGGAGATAGGTGAGCCGGATTTCTTCACGGGGCCTGCCGCCACTATTTCAATTGTGGTGGTGGTGAAGATCTCATGACAGTGGACCTGGCAATACCAAGAATAAACTTTTGACTTCAAATGAAGAAGAATTGAAAATAGTGGCCGCGGCGAATGTTCTGTCCATCAAAATATCCCCTACCACCGCACAAGCAAGGCTCATTAGTGGAAGAGGGCAGAAATACTACCCTGGACTACCTTGTTCTAGTTTTTGTCTGGCGGCATCAAGCTTCGGGCTATTCGGAAAGATCGGAAACAACACCCTGGCGTGGGACAGCGTACCATTCGAGACCAGCGCTTGGAGACACCATTATCAATGTGAAAAGCACGCAACCAGACAATGCAGTTCATTGCCAACGCTCTTATGAGATGAAGGCAATGGCGCTTGTCAAAAGAAAGGCGAGGATTATGACAGCAAACTGAAGTTTGAAACAACTCTGCCGGTAATTAGCGATTCCCGCGTTGAAGTGCCGATCTCTGTGTACGGAAAGGCCGTGGAAGTGAATTCGTCGTTCTCAGAAGAGCGGGTCTCCTGGAGAATTGCGCGTTACTCAACGGGACTGGACCGCGGCATGTCACCGCCCAGCAACGGGCAGGCCTGGCCCCGCCGCTCCCCGCACAGCTGTGTTTGGCCAGCCCGATAAGGCGCCTCTGAAGGACCATGGAGCTACAGCAATGGCGCAGTAGGCACATCTCACAGAGGGTGGGACAGGGCGCACGGTACGCCCCGCTCGTTTGCGGCGCAGCCTCCAGCGCTCCGAAAGGCTTATGCTAATTGTCGCCAAGTTATTGCAGTCACCCCGCCCCGTCCAGTTCTCAATGGGCGTACGTGGTGCGCGCCCGGCCGCAACAGCCGGCCGGCCGCCCCCGGCCGAAGTCGCCTGTGTCCCTGAGGTGCGAGGCGCGTGGGCTCGGGCCGGGGCTGGACAGACCGGCCACTGTCATGGCTCAGACGGCGGTGTCGGTTGCCGCCTGAGCTCCAGGAAGCAGGCGGCACGGAAGCGCGCCCTGCGACCGCCAGCCGTCCGGGTTCGCTGTAGGTCATACGTGTTTACATTCGGGTCGGGTGGCGCACTGGCGCCTCTGGCGGAGGCCGCTCGAACGAGACGCCGGCGGCATTATACACATCTGACTGCGGTAGCGGCGCGTTCATCGCTGGGTTGGGAGAAGATCGATGTCGCTATGGACAACACCAGACCAGAATACGCTGACGCCATGCAGCCTGTCCATGTCACTGACAAGAATCGGAAATAATTTTGGCGTTATCCAAACTATGTATACAAAAGTAATGACGAGATATGCGCGGGCTGAAGTGTACCAGAATATATGTCTAGCCATATACTCCGAGAAAAGACCACTCACAGCGACTCCCTAGCTGATGTCGGTCCTACAGGGTCTTCCGCTACTCCGAAAAGATCTGCGAAGCCGCATTTAAAATAAATGGGTCATGGTACACAAGTCAAACCGGATTTCATTCCAGAAACGGCCATCATCAGGCGAAGCTGCACCGTGCATGCTCACTTAAGCGCTGCGCGCGCACGCAAGCCGCTGTCTGCTTGCATGTTCTTCGAATCTGGCGCAGACGAAAAAAGTGGGGCTGACATGGTCGCCCGCGTGAGTTTTGAAAAGTATTTTTAAACGGCACAAGATATAATGGGTCAGGGACGACACTTAGGTCCGAATGGGGTCATCTGTGGCAGACTCTTCCCAGCTCATATGCAGCAAACCATCCCGTCAAATTCTGTTCTATCGGGCACGGAGCGGACGGGCTCGCCGGCGGTGGGGACCGCTGGAACAGCTGGCATCTCGGTCCGGATCAGTGATGCCGGCTCGGTGGGCCCGGAACCCGGCTCTGTGGGACCGGAGCCAGGGTCGATGGGACCGAAGCCCGGCTCGGTGGGACCGGAGCCCGGCTCGGTGGGACAGGAACCCGGCTGCGATGGGACCGGAGCCCGGCTGCGGTGGGACTGGAGCCGGATCGGTGGGACCGGCAGAGGTCCGCGCGGCTCGCGGGGAGGGGCTGGTAGGAGCCATCGAACGCGGCATCGCGGACGTCGACAAACTGCGCGACAAGCTCGCCGTCTGAGAATACAGTGCCGGGGCCCGTCAGCAGGTCACTCAAAGGACGAGCCGGGCCCCCAGGGGAGGGGGGGGGGGGGACACGGGACGCGCGTGAGCGGGCTGGCGACGGACCAACAATGCCACGCGCCTGCTGACATTGACACGAGTCGCGCCACCCGGCGGCTCCGCCAATCAACGCACGCCGGGCGGAGGCGCGACCGCTGCTGGTTGGCTGCCGCCAGTGCCTCATCACGTGACCAGGCGGCTCAAGAGATCGGAGTTTCATAGCGGCAGTGTTTAGACAGGGCGGACGGGTCGTTGCTGATGAAAAGGGGGCATACGAGACAGCTACGCCGGCCAAGGTCCGCCGTACAAACAGCTTTCTTGTCGCCGAACTAAATGCCGAGAACGCGTGTAGTCTCGAGTTAAGTTTGGAACGAGAACGAAGACGTACGGGATGCCACAACTGGCTATGAGACCCCGCCGCCCCTCATAGAAGCTCTCAAGACCCCCCCCCCCAACCAAGGGAGCATTGTCCTGCTCAGTTTAGGGCTTCAGCTCCCCATCCTGGCCTCCGCCCACCCCACCCACCCCCCTCCTTGCAACTTTGGGAAGGTGGGCCAGGTCAAATCTGTGGAAAACCCTGTTCGTTGGCATAATCTGAGGTAGCTTGGGTTATTTTACATTGTTCAGCCTCGCCCTCCTTGTGAAACGACGCCGCTGCCTCCAACCCGCCTCCATCCCCGTTGGAAGCACGACTGACGACAATTCATGCACGCAATAAATCCTTGTCTCCGTCGCCGCCTGCCGTCCACGCGTGGAACGATGACAGCCTTAGGTCTAGAGACGGCCAGGCCAGCCGTTTGGCCATGGACCGATGGCCTGCTCGCCGCGTGACAGCCGCGCCCCAGCGTGCGACTCGCTGGCGCGCCGCCGGGCTGCGTGCCGGTCGCTTCGGAGAGCGCCGGAGACGGGCTGCTGGCGGCACCCGGGCGCGAGCCGAGGCCGAGGCGAGGCGAGTCCGGTCGACCGCCGCGGCGAGCGAGCCGCCGCCGCTGGTCAGGGGGCGCCTCCCCAGCCGCTTCCGTGACGGTGCGGCGGGGCGGCGGCCGCGGCCCGGGGCCAGGCTTTGTCTGCTCCCTGTGGACGGGATCTCTCGATACGGTGTGGCTTTTGTCGAGGATTCCCCCTCTCCCCCCATTTCCTGTAGGGCCACTCTGGTGAGGCCCCCACCCGTTATTGTTCCGTTCTGACTCGCCGTCCTTTCCGCGTTTGTGCTCCGACGACCTCGTCCCATCCGGCCGTTAATGCGATGCAGTGTCAGGAAGAGAGGCGGGGGGGGGGGGGGGGCGGACCCCTATCTTTTCGAAAGGCTGCTTAAAGGGAGTGTTCCATATGTGTATGCGGTTTTGAAATGAAACAGCCATCCTGCAGATTATTCGGTGCAGTTCACAGCTGTGCTTTTCTTTAGATATAAGCCCTTCTAGCTTGTGAGCCATCAGCCCTTAAAGATGTGCACACCATTTCGAGGAGACTATTTTAAGGCCATCCAGGTATCCATGACGCTATAATATCATTCAAATCCTGTCATACCTATGGCCATGCGGCAATCAAGACCAATAAAAATACAATTGTCCAATCGCTCATACCTGGCATTCATGAGCATCATTTCCAGACAAAACGACCATCATCTGACTCGAGCAATGTGCCAGGTACCGATGACGTTATCAAACAACGACGCGTTGAGCATATTTACTAAACAGAGAAATTGTGTTGTCTGGAAAAGCCCTTTCTACTTAAAAGAATGCCAATAGTTACCATTGAGCTTATTGCGTCATATCTGATGCTTGCGCCAATATCTTCAACTGTGGTGCATTCCTTTTACATAAGCTCATAAGCTGGCATAGAAAGAGGATGGCTGCATTAACACATTTTGGATGTCTGTCCAAGGTCGCTCGACTC